ACTAAAGAAGAACCCACCCAGAGGACCTACTTATTTTTTTCTTTTTGACTAACTCCTCTTATTATGTTGTGGATCAAAGCGCTTTACTGAGAAACCTAAAAATCTAAATTAACTTGCTTTATTTGACACATAACTGTATTTTCAAACACCAAGTGTAAAACCTTCATTTTACATATTTTTTTCCTTTGCTCACCCCAGTTTTATGGTTGTCTCTACCACAATTCTACCTTAGTGTATATAGTTTATATATTTGGTAAGTCTTAGACTGTTCTTGAGAAAAAATAGAAGAAAATGAAATGTAATGAGCAAAAATTACTTGTGAAATTTAAAAAATTGACAAACATTTGAGCAATAAAAGATTGCTAACTTTATTTAAAATATTTATAATAAAATATATGTTTTGCCTTTGGAAAGTTTTCAATGACATAACTATAACTTTATAGCAAAATACATTTTTTGTCTATCTTTTGTCATACTTGTGTTAAGACTGTTAACAATTATTTTCAACACTGAGAGTTTTTTTTACAAATAAATTAAACAGAATCCCTGTTTCGCTTTGTGCTTTTATATTTTCAACCACTAAAATACCCTTTTATTCGTTTTAATTTTGAGCTTTTTAAAATGTCTTTCTTTCTTTTTAAACACTATTTAAATATGATTCAAAGTTGAACAGAAAAACAATATGTCTCGAAAAATGAAATAAACTAAGATACATCTGAAATCTGAAAGTGCATGTAGACTTAACGAACCAAAATTATAAAAATTATATAAAATTATATAAATATTTAATCACTTTAAATATATTCACATAATAGACTGTAGGAATGACTCAGTCAGTTGAATAATCCATTTAATAGTCATAACTCTTATCCATCTTTTGTAAACATGGTGTATTTTTCTTATGGTACATAATCATACGTGCAATGTAAAATCTCAAACGAAAGTTAAAAAAAGGACAAAGACACTGCTGGATTTATTAATTACATCTCACCAAGGGGATCTCAGTTCTTTGGTCCAGTGGCCCATTCCACTTTGTCGTGTGCTGCAGTAATGTGGTGGTCCCTGTAGGAAGTGCCATGGATCCATCCCCTCCCAACCCTGGTATACTTCACTGTGGACTCTTCTGCCCGTCACAGTTGTTGGTCCCATTTTCAGCAACTTCTCTGTTTTTTTTTTTTTTTACTTTTCACCCACTTACAGAGTTGCCTCTTGCTCTTGAGGCTCAGAGATGACGTCGTCTCTGCTCTGCTCACCTTCTTTACCAGGTTCAGACATTGTGTCGTCTTCAGTTTTCACGCTTTCTTTTTGAACTTCTTTTCTTGGTAGATCACTCTTGTCAAGCGCTGGTTTGTCATTTTCACTCTTCGTCTCCTTGAGAACAGTTTCCTTCTTCTTTTCGGGCTCAGTTGACTCGATGTTTTTGATCATATCGAGCTCCTTGTCCTCTGCTGAGAGACAAAAACTCATAAAAAGGTTCACAACGCACAAACATACAGAAAATAATTGTAGAAATTAAAACTTACCAACTTTTGAGGGTTTTTCTGCTTTTTCTACCTTGGCCTCTTCTTCACAGGATGTCTGTAAGTCATGGTCTTGGCATGGACTATCATTGGAAGGAGGTGGACTCGTCAGAAGGTGAGGAGCTGCACCTGATTTGTTACCAGAAGGGGTCACTTTAGAGACAGGATCCAAAACGGTAGAGGAGCTGATTGCAGCAGAGATGGCTGGACTGCTGGTGGAAGTTGTATCTGCATGGTTCAAACTGGTGGCGGTGGAAGTGGTGTCCGTTGGGTTGGTGTCACTGGAAGAAGTGGAGGGAGCAGGGATCTCATCGGGGCTGAGGAGGGCTGCCTGGATGTTTGAAGGTGCAGAAACGGAGCTCATGTGGTCACAGGATGATGGGGTGATGGTTACAGATGTTGTAGAAGAAGAGGAGGTGGTGGGAGGAAGGGAAGCCGAGACAATGGTGGAGGATGTGGGAACGGGGACTTCTTCCTGTGAAACAGAAACTGTAATCGTATCGTCGGGGATGGAGGGAGGACATGTCGTTTTAGAGACTGATGTTTCAGAGGCGCTGGAGGCAGCGGGTGTGGTTTCACCAGCTTCGGGGCCTGTGAGGCCTGGATCTAATGTGCTGGTGGGGGACGAAGGAGCTGCAGCGGTGACAGAAACATCTGCATCACCTTCAGCATCCTTTGCGAGAACGCCGTTTAGCTCCGGCAAAGTTGCCTTCACTGACAGATCTGTTGGTGTTGTGGAAACTGGGCTTTGCTTGCTGGGATCAGAAGCAGTTTCCAGGGTGGCGACAGAAGGAGTTTTTGTGACAGACTCAGAGGAGGTGGTGGCGGCCTCAAAGGTAGTGTCGGTGGTTTTAGGGACAGAGGCTTTGTTCTCACTGACTGCATCATCAGTGGGGGTTGTAGCTGCTTCAGTAGTGCATATTTCTGTGTCTACAGTACTTGAAGGAGAAACCGTAACGCTGGCTGCGTCGGGGACGGAGTCTGAGATTGTCGGTACAGTGGAGGTGGTGGCGGCAGCCGGGTCGGGAGCAGCGGGAGCCGATGGAACTGTGGTCGGGCTGAGTTTAGTGGGTGTGTTCGTCTCTGCTTCCTGTATCTGTGCTAGCTCGTTCTCAGGCGTGTTGCGCCCAGATGTTGTGGGAGGCGGACCTGGTTTGAGTACTGGTTTTGGAAGGAGAGCAGGTTTCCCAGCTGCCTCGTGTGCAGACACACTTACTCGAATTTGATGCCGGGTGTCTATGGAGAAAATAAGAGTCGATTAGCTGCTTATAGAGTAGATGGCTGTGTCCAATATCAGGGGCTGCGTCCTTTGAAGGATCCGATTTACATGGTCTACTTAGATTGGATCCTTTGTCAACCACGAAGACTAGAAGTGAGTGGCTATGAACTTAGATGGTCTAGGCCAGGGCTATTTAACTAAATTGCTCCGGGGGCACAGTTACTGCAGGCCAACAGCTGAAGGGCCGAACATCCAGCAATTAAAGTCATTAAGTAAATAAACCAAGTATCATAAAGATCTGTTACCTTTGAAATAGTTTATTTTGCTGCATTTAATCATGGATACAACATTGAGAGTGATAATAAAACAATATCAAAATCAAAAATAACACATTTGTTTATTTTATTTTACCAGGCAAGTCCCGCTGAGATCTCAGATCTCTTTTTCAAGTGTGGCCTGGGCCTGAAGGCAACCTAGTGTACATGTTTTGGGGGTGGGAGAAGCCGGAGTACCCAGATAAAACCCACACAAGCACAAGGAGAACATGCAAACTCCGCACAGAAAGACCCCAGGTCCGAGCCGGGGATCGAACCCAGAACCTTCTTGCTGTGGGGTGTCGGTGCTAACCACTGATCCATCGTGCTGCCACGTTCTGCCTCTTATTTGACATAAATGTTGTTTTGACATCTCTGACTTGCCAAATTTTTAAACCAATTTTATTTTCTTTTTCGTAATTTTATCTTCAACTGCTTGTAGTTTTAACTGTCTCGGGTGTTCTTTAAAATGGTTTTCACCAGCTTGTAGCCAAGATTCTGATGTTTCTGTAGACACCAAACATGTCTATGTCGAACTAAAAGAATTTAGAGTAATTAAAGTAGAAAACCGTGGGTTTGGGCTTAAGAGATGAATGAACCAATTGGTGGGATGATCTTTGGTCATTCACGGGCCACATGTGGCCAGTTTTCGGACGAGAATATTTTATAAAAAACATGTTTATGCAAATGATAAAAGCCTAACAACACAACCACTTTTTTGCCTGTGGCATCAAATCTTTGTAACAAATATAAATGCAATTTTGGAAAGATAACTGATAATGTGTTGCAAAACAAATTAAGTGGAACAGCCACTGAGACGAGCAGTTGTTGAGGTATTTGCATGTAAGGTAACAGGAAGTGATGTCACTGGGGAATGTCTGAAATTGAACAGAGACTGGGTGGCCGTGACTGAGTGGTTAGAGCAGTCATCATCCACTGAGAGAGTTGGGGGTTTGATTCTACCACTGTTCAGTCACATGTCGAAGTGTCCCTGGGTAACACACTGAACTCTTTATTGCCTCTGATGTGTCCCATCAGAGTATTATCTAAAGCACTGATTCGTCTCTGTAGAATATTTTCTTTCTTATGTCACAAGTAGGGCTGCACCGATACGAAAATTTCAGCCGATATCGATATCCGATATAATTATTGCTATTATGGCCGATAGCCGATATTACACAAACACACAAATTATATTATATATATATGCACAAACACACTTGGGTCTTTTTTTTTTTGATACCATAAATAAATAACCAGACCTCTGACATGGCTCTCCTTCAGTTATTCCTGGCTGCGCAGCATCTGTATCACTATCATGATCAAACAGATGCTGCTCAACCAACCATCTCCCCTCCAAAAACAAAAACACAAAGCTAAAAAGTGGGAAATCAATATCGGACGTTAATATTGGCCCAGTTTTACATATCGGACCGATATGATATTCTAAAAAATGACCAATATCGGCCGATATCGATATCAATACCAATATATTGTGCATCCCTAGTCACAAGTACTTTAAATTGAAAATTTTTGTACAGCAAGATTTCCATTTAAAACTGTACTCTTGTCTCACTCCTCGTGCTTCGTCCACCATTACAAGCAAAAAAATTAAAAATAAAATAAATTCCCAGGATAGGGTAGGTTGAGAAAGATCCACTGGATCCGTCCCTCAAATCGGGGCAAAAGAAGGACACATTTGTGGGTCGCGATTGGAGAAGCCTTTGAATTTGTGATGTAATCACCTTCGAAGGGTGCAGCCTCTGAATTTGGACACAACCGATGTGAAACAATAAATGAGTGGACGTGTCTTACCTGATGATGCAGACATTGTTCGAGGTTTTGAGAAAGTAGACGGAGGTTCAGGTTTACTGTCAATGATGGTGCCTGAAGTACAAAAGCCTTATTTTACAAGAGGATTTAAGCCCCTTAACGTCCATTTTAAAGATTAGCTGAGCTTTACTGGGATTCAAAAAGACTTTAATCATATTAAAAACAGGGGGCACATACCTTCAGATTCAGCCTTTTTCATCTCTTTCTCTTGATTCTACAAGAACAAAAGCAACACTTGAACATTTTTATCACGTTTAACAGGATTAAATTGAGACAGGCTCATCACACACCTGCGTGTCTCCAGGCTGAGGTTTGGAAACTCCAATGCGCTGAAGCATCAGATGGAGCTTCTGCTCAAAGCTATGTTGGCCTTCAAGCGGTTTCTGAAATTAGCAGCGCCACAGAAGTGATGCTTGAGATTTTCCTCACAACATTGAAGAGCTCAGCTGTGTTGACACTCACCTTGGCGGTGTTTCTGCCATTGGTGGTCCCAGCTGCTGCTGATCCCGACAGCAGAATGAGGGACTGGGATTTCCCTTCTCTGAGAGCTCGGCGAGGAGGTGCGGCCTCACCCCTCAGTGGTGCGTCGCTTCCAACAGGTGGTTCTTGGACAGCCGGATCTCCAGGAACAGCACCGAGGTGCGGTTTCGCTTTCTCCTTTTCGTTCTCCTTGTCGTGCTCCTTCACTCGGTCCTTGTCTTTCTCTGACCTGGCGACCTCCCTGAGGGGGCGGATGAGATCGGCGATGGAGGCCTTCTTGGGCCGACCCTCTTGGCTCGGTTCTGACTTTAAGCCTCGCTTCTTCTTKAGCGTGAAGAAGTCGCCGAGCTTCCTCCTGAGCGTTTTCGTTGGTGGTGGGCAAGGGACGGAGCTGGCGGGAGCCACTTCCTGCAGGGTGATGGTTTCTTCATCTTGCTTGTTCCTGAGCAAAAATCCACAAATTAAAGAACCTGTTCTTCTCATTCAGTCTGGATCTTGTGGCTGAGATACTCACTGTGTTTCAGTGGGAAGCACTTTCTTTGTAAAGAACTCCTCGACTCCTTCATCCACTCGCCCCATGAGCTCCAGGACTTCATTTTCACTTTCAATTATTGTCTCCTAATTATCACAGAAACACAGAGACACAATTAGACCAACTAATATTAGAGAACAATTCCTGTTATATGTAACTTTGCATTATGTAACGATGAAAACCCACACACTTTGGCAGTATTGTTCCTCCTGCCTCTATAGGTGAGTTTTGGTTGGATTCGCTCATCCGTTCATGCCATGCAGGCCTCCTGGGACTCAGTTGCTCAGTAACGTACGACGGGAGAGGCATTACGAGGTTTTACATGCAGAACGAGAGCATGGTAACTCATTTTGCCAATAACAGGTAATGTGATATCAAAACTGCAGCAAGGCAGAGTTGTATTACACAGATCAGATCCAAATTCTGARCCCACAAGTAGCGGTGGAAGTCAAGAGGGTGGCAGTAGAACACAAATTTAGCAGAAGTCACCATTACATGATATTCTCTCAGGGGGATTGCATTAATTTAGTCTCCGAGGGAGTGCTTGTTCAAGGTCTGTGACAACACGATCAGCTTCATGTGAAACTGATGAGCACTCAGTGTACGTTTTGAAACGTTTAAAGCTTAAAAAGAACCGTTTCTTTCAGCGAGAGCCAGAGAAGAGGTTTAAATTGAACTCCTGCTCATTATGCCGACTCCATCAGAACAGAGTGGATAATTCAAAGAGCCAGAGACCGGTACAAAGGGACTCCCTAATTCAAGCGGGGACCAGGCATCTTCCAGCACCCCCCTTCCATCCTTCCCTTCCCCCCTGCCTCTCCCCTCTGTTCCCTCTCCTTCCCTCCCATCCATTTTCTCCCCTCTCTCACACACCACCTTTCCACCAAACCTCCCCGATCACCCTCCACCTGCGCACGGTACCTGCGGTCTGCTGGGACGGTAGTTCAGTTTTTGTCGGTGAGGTCTCGGTCTGCTCTGGGTGTAGTGCCTGAGAGCTGGTCCGCCCAATGGCAGCTCCATTGGGGAGACACGGCACGCTGTTGCCGTGGCTCTGTTGCTAAGAGCACCAGCAGTATGTAATGCCTCCACGGAGGTGGGAGGGGCCGGGCCGGCCAGACTGACAGATCTGACAACAGAGCCTCGCCTTTCTCTGCCCCCCCTCCGTGAGAGGAAAACCAGCAGAAAAAGATGGTGATAAAACAAGAAGAGGCACTAACCTCTGCTCCATCCCTGCATCTCACAGCTCACCATTAATTAAATGTTCACCAACCATCACTCTGCTCGAAACACCTGAATGGACGAGATCTGTCAGTTATGTAACAAATAAATTATTTTATTTCTAGGGCTGTGAAATTAATCGAGTTAACTCATATTGATTAATTTTAGTGCTGGGCTTAGATTTAAAAATTTAATCACGATTAATCGAGATTAAAATAAAAAAAGAAAACAGTTAGATTAATCACGATTAAATTTTAATCGCGATTAATCAAACTTTTTCCTTTTTTTTTTTTTTTTTAAACAATCACTTTACTATGGCTGAATATGTAGGTTTGTACAGTACTGTATATTACAATGCACTCCATGTCAGTGCATGCCAGGTCATGTTTGTAAATGAGAAGTGGTTCTCAAACAGTTTACCTGGATAAATAAAGGTTTAATAAATAAAATAAAATAAACTCCACGTGTAACACATTATGTACAGTTTTTTTTTCTTTTTGTCTTCTTATGGCTTATTTAATTTTATTTATTTATGTTTTGCTGACAACTGTGACCTTAGTATCTATCTTTCATTCTTCATGTCCTGGAAGACTGATGATGTCCTCGTGTACTCATTTGGAATGAAAATCCTTGAATTCTTGATTTAACCTTATTATTCTGCACAAAATTTACCTGACTCAAATATGTTTGGAGCATTTTTAAGTCCTGTTTTATATTTTAAAAATCATGTCTAAGCAACATTTTTGTTTTCTAAATAAAAACATTAAAAACTAATTAATATCAAGTAATTTATTTTATCAATATGCAACAGAAATATATATTAAATTTAAGATTAATCATGATTAATTCACAGCTACTTTGGGATTAATCAGATTAAAAACATCAATCATTTGACAGCATTATTTATTTCACATGCAACGAAGATGCTGTTATTGACTTATTATTTCATTGGTGGAAAAAGTGCAGAAGTGTTTCACTACTCCGGTGAATTTCTAAAACCAAATGTTTCTAAAGTGCTTCAGGAAACTGTGCTAAGTGGTCCTGGGAGGATAGGACGTTAAAACGAGCTGCTCGACTTGTTCAGAAACCAGAAAATATGACAGCCACAAGCGCCGGTTTCTGCACGGTTTAATTACAGAGTGTGTCCCGGGTTTCATACAAATCCTTCTGCCTGACTGAACATTCAAAACTATATATTCAMCTGCAACGGTTTTATACAGAGGTCACATCTATATAAACTATCTATATTTAAATATTTATAAATATAAATAGATTAATATATATATTTATATTGTTTATTTACAGGGAACACATTTTGAGGACTTTTTATTCACAACTTAATAACTTGTTTTCTTCTTTTGAATCCCATAAGGAAGGTTTCCCACGTGGATTTGACATCAGCTGTTTCAGATGTTGATTGTAACCTGGATCAAAGGTGACATTGTTTTCTGAAGCCTAAATGTGTGTTTAATCTTAATTAGATCTTGTGCATGCCTGTAATCCCTGAAGATTAAATATAATTAAAGACCAGATGAGACTGGCATTTATACTGATGAGCGGTTTCACTGGGGGGGGGGGGGGGGGGGGGTTGTCATGCAAAATCAACGTTTTTGAGCTTTAAATCATGTTATAATGTCATTCCCTCATCAACAATGTACCCAGAGTGTTTCTTCAACTCAGTCATGCACGTTTGAGAAATCCTTGAATTTCCTGTGGTAGCCATGTGAAGCTACCTGAATGCTTGCTGGTACAAAGCACCACTTACTTATACAAAGCTCCTCCGAGCTCAGTTCTCAGCCAAGCTCCTGCCCCGCAGAGTGCCCCTCAATCAAAGCATTGTGAAGACGTGCTGAAGTGGGAGTGTCAGAAACAGGAGGTTCTTAAAGAGACAGAGGCCAATTTCAAGGTGCTTACATACACTATATGMAAAGACAAATTTATTTATACAACATTGTTATAACAACTGAAGGTAACAGTTACTTGATTGTGCTACAGAATTAAACTATATGCCTGAAAAATACACAAACATTGGATCTTGGGACAAATTTAAGACAGKTTGCACTTTTAGAAATTTTAGGACCCTTGATATTTCTACTCAACTACATTTCAGCAAATATATTGTTTTGCTTGCACCACATTCAGGAACTAAATACTTTATCAGACTATAAAAACTGACATCATTTTCAAATTGCTGTAAAGGCTAAACAGGTAGTAAGTTCAACCGCATCATTAACTTAGTAACAAGCGGTTAACAATTTAACCTAATGTGAAAAAAATGGCACAATTACTCTTTCCAGCTTTTAATATTGATTAAAATGTAATCATCAATAAGGCAAGAGAGTTACAAGTCCTTAAGACCAAACATCTGTACCAAACTGCATTTTCTCTGAAAATAATTATTCAGCCTGTTGTTATAAAAAGTGACTTGGAGGCAGAAAACAAAATGATTCTGAGGATTGTGGAGAAAAATGTTCATAATATGCTTCAAGACCTGAGCAAAGGGACAGTTTAGGCCAGGGTTTATGTTTATTTTATTTTATTTTTTATTTTTTTTTTGTTTTAGTTTCTTAGAGGGTTGTGTAAGTTATTGTTTTTAGTCAGCCTGTAGAAAAATTGTACTAACTGTGTTTTCAGTGGATTTAGTTTACCTCATCTGGAGGACAAGCCCTTTACTTTTTCCTCCAACACTTCACCCCAAATCCCTTCTGACATCCAGATCACCTGGTCGATCTTGATTTGTGTGGAGTTTGTGGGTCTGATGATGAGTCAGTCGCGACCGAGCCGACTCAAAATGCCAATTCATTTGAACCTGGAGGGGAGGTTTTTAAAAATATGTAAACTGCAACTAAAATTTGATTCAAACAACACGATCAAATATATGAAACCTTGTTTAACAACAACAACTGACGATATATTAATCCAAAACCGATAAACTGATGTGAGTCGAAAGATCCTCACTTGCTCTTAAACTGAATCAAATGATTCAATGATTCAAATCCCAGAACGGAGCTGTAATTCCCGTCACTGCTCGCAGTGGTCATACTGCCCTCTGGTGGCTGATTTTATGAACTGCCTTTTTTGATGACATAATCTTGATTCAATCAGTCTGCTCGTCCAGAGATTGGGAGTCGTCGAGTTAGAGCTTTAACCAGAAAGCTGATCGATATGATTTATGTTTCATAAATCATTGTGATACTGCACCGGGTCGCCACGCCCACGATAGATTTCAAATCTGGCGCCCATCACCCACAGCCGCGTTCGGCCACTCCCCTCTACTCCCCCCGCGGCGAGCGTGCGCGCACGCGCGTTAGCTTTGACGGKCCGCCATTTTGTGTTAGGCCTGCTCCTCCAGAGCGGGAGAAAATTAATAGCTCTGCGCAGAGCACATATGACCGTCCGCTGAGAGGCTGAAAGGATCAACCGTGGCTGCTGAGGTTCCGAGTGAATATACCGGAGGAAGAACCAACCGAGAGTAGGTCCAACTATCGCTATGTTTCCAAACAAGGGGAGGTTTTTGTAGGAGCCGTCGCCGGCCTCTAGGTGTCACGGTAGGGCTTATCGTCCAGGCGGCTGGCGGGGGGTGTTTGTCTCCCTCTATCGTTATCCAAAATACACGAAATGTGACTATAAACTGCAACTCCCAGCATCGGCCGAGTATTTTGAAGCTTTTCGGACGATATTATGTAGTGTTTTCCAGGGGATGGTGATGTTAATCGGTATTTCTGTTTTAAGTTAGTTTAGGCCTGACGTCCATCTTATCGTGCCCTTTGTTTCCTGTTTTCAGACAGAGTCGCGCTTCACCACTTAACTCTTTAAGTTTATTCTTCACACTACAAACAAYGTGTCGTGTTTTATTGAGTCGATCRCCTTGATTGAAAGCAAAGCAGATCGAGAACAAATGTATGGGTTGAGAAGGAGAGTCCCTGAGGGACTGACTGATTAACACACAAACCCCATCAGTGTCTTATCAAGCAGGAAGACGGTCGGACGGAGAACTCCGGGCTCGACGTCTGAATCGCGGTCGTTGAGACAATAAAGCATACTTTGTCCTCCACAACACATTTTAAACTCTTCACATTTGTTACTTTACTTGTCTCGCAGGAACCTGTACTTTAGAAAAGTGTTTTTAGACGATCTAAGTCAGTTTGTCCTCCATTATCTCCCACCTGTTTTGCGCGGTACAAGTTAAACATGATGTCTGCACTACTTTCTAGTGACTACATCAAGTAAATGTTTTAAAACTTGTGGTTTTTTTTGTACTTTTACAGAAAACTATAATCACATAAAAGTATATGTAATAACTGGGAATGAGTTGAGTATGAGACAACTGATTGTAATTTTTACAAATATGGTACATACTAGTCAAAATGTTTCACGAATCATGGCTGGTTAATTTGTTACAAATTAATTTCAAAAGACTGCTTAGACTCATGACTCATGCAACATATTTCAAATACCTATCATGTTCTGATGGATTAAAAACACTCAAGATTAATGCAAATGACTTTGTCTAAGTTGTGATAGACGTGACCAGAATCAATAGAACTGAACTCTGATCCAGAGTCGCACAGCATTCTGGGAGATAAAGGTTTTAGCTGCTCAACCTCTCACGGCCCAGCTAGAGGCTCTGTCACACTATAATGTTTTGAACAACTAAAAGAGTTAAAAATAAACTGGAAGCTTCTGTAAGGCGTGTAAATACTGTAATGCTAACAAATTAATCAAATCTGCAAATCAGTAATTTAGACATTAAAAACATGTATAAGTTGTAAAGTGTTATAGTGTTACGGGGCCTTAAGCAAGGTTGGTGGCATCAGCTAACTCAATCACATTTTGGTAAGCAAGCAACAACCTGTTGAGTAACATGCACAGCAGTAGTTTTATGTTTACCGTACCTCATAACTACTTAAATTAAAACAACGTCGAGTGGAAAAAAGAAAATGAGTGCAACAGCTCAAGAGGCAATTGTGCATAAGAGAAAAGGTCACGTCAGCAGTTTGGCAGAATTAATCAGCCTTTTCTCCCTCCTGGTCTTTATTTCAAATGAGTAAAAAAACAATCAATCATTATCTAACTACATAGTTGGATACATACATTTTAAGGTTTTTAAACCATATCGCTCAGCCCTAATTTATTACCCTCCTAGACCTTTCATCGTTTTGTTTCAGCCTGAATAAAATACCAAGCAATAATAAGCAGTCAGTGCCATTTCAGCCAAAGGTATTTCTGCTTTGTAAARTAAATTAATCCAACTCAGTGCCGTCTTAACTTCTAACCATTCTACAACATGTGTTTTTGTCTGCTCAGGGTGTTGGTTAGTCCATTGCCATGGAGGGCGAGGTTGTCACCATAGAGGCAGCTCAGGCTGCAGCCATGGCCGCCGAAGGAAAGGTCCTGCCAGAAGGCGGGGAGGCTTTGATGCAAGCGGCGCAGGGCGACGTGACCGGGAACATGGACATGATGGTGATGGATGCTCTTGATCCGACTCTGTTGCAAATGAAGACGGAGGTTTTGGAAGGAGGCGGCACAGTAACTGTTACCGGTGGAGATGAGGGTCAGATCATCACGCTCCAGGTTTGTGTAAAATACACGGTTTTAAAAATGAGCAGCTAGACTTCGTATWTTGAGCGTATAACAGGATTTTTTTTGTYGCAGGTGGTAAATATGGAGGAACAAGCAGGTGCTGCGTTGGGTATTGGTCAGCTTCAGCTCGTACAGGTACCTGTGTCTACAGCTACTGTAGAGGGACTCCAGGCCACTTTTGTTGAAGCGTCAGCAGCTAACAAGGATGTAGAACCAGTTATTTGTCACACACTTCCTTTGCCTGAAGGTTTCCAGGTGAGAACAGCTTTATTTTAAAACAATTCGTTTGAGATATGTCTTCTACATTCGTTTTGAACTGTCATTCTTCTTGTCACTAAAAATGTTGTTTTTTTTAGGTTGTAAAAGTGGGCGCCAATGGTGAAGTTGAAACAGTGGAGCAGGAGGAGCTCCAAGCTGCCCAGGATGAGCTCCATGGAACGAGGGAGGAGGAGGAGGAAGAAGAAGAGGAGGAGGACGAGGAGACGGCAGAACTGGAAACAGCTGTCCCTCAACAAGACGACCCGCAGTGGTCGAAAGACCCAGATTACCAGCCCATTACCACGGTCCGTAAGGGGAAGAAAGGGAAAAAGAGTCGCCTTCGCTACGCGGAGGGTGATCGGGACATGGACGTGTCTGTGTATGACTTTGAGGAGGAGCAGCAGGAGGGGCTGCTGTCGGAGGTGAACGCAGAGAAGGTTGTGGGCAACATGAAGCCTCCGAAGCCCACTAAGATCAAGAAGAAAGGTTAGACTTTGGTGCTTTTTGGCTTTTACGTTTAAGAAAATGGGTAAAGAAGCACGTTTAACACRAACTAAATGTTTTTGTTTTGCGTTTCCAGGCGTGAAGAAGACTTTCCAGTGTGAGCTCTGTAGCTACACCTGTCCAAGACGCTCTAATCTGGACCGTCACATGAAGAGCCACACAGATGAGAGACCACACAAGTGTCACTTGTGTGGACGAGCCTTCAGGACAGTCACACTGCTGAGAAACCATCTCAATACACACACAGGTAAAGCAAGGACAAAAAAAATAGTTTAGTGTAATAGTTTGAGTCCTAGAAAACCAAATTAGTGTTGTAGCGTCCTTCAATATGTTTCAAACAAGCTTCCTTCAACTCAACTTTTAGGTAGCTTATTTCTGTCCTTTTTCTTTTAGGCACYCGGCCTCATAAATGCACAGATTGTGACATGGCATTTGTGACCAGCGGTGAGTTGGTGCGCCATCGCCGCTACAAACACACACACGAGAAGCCGTTCAAGTGTTCCATGTGTGACTATTCCAGTGTGGAGGTAGGTTAGGTTTAGTTGTTTTAGCATATGTTGTAATTTTCTTCTAATAGGACAAGTTTTTATTCTGTTTTGCCTTTTCTCAGGTGAGCAAGTTGAAAAGGCACATCCGCTCTCATACAGGGGAGCGGCCCTTCCAGTGCAGCCTGTGCAGCTACGCCAGCAGAGACACTTACAAGCTGAAGAGACACATGAGAACACATTCAGGTGATACAATGCGCTCTTGTTTCTGTTCTGCTCGAGTGGAGCGCCTTGCTCACCTCCTTTTATATTTTTCCCTCTCCCCTCTTCCACGTTGCAGGTGAGAAGCCGTACGAGTGCTACATCTGCCAYGCTCGTTTCACACAAAGCGGCACCATGAAGATGCACATTCTGCAGAAACACACRGAGAACGTGGCCAAGTTCCACTGCCCACACTGTGATACTGTCATCGCACGCAAGAGTGACCTTGGTAAAGTCGTGCATCACCATCTCTGTGCTGAATAATTTGTTTGTAGAGTTBGCATCTTTGTTGTTTTTAGCTGGTTTGACATGGATTATGCTGACGTTTGTTGCAGGTGTTCACTTGAGGAAGCAGCACTCGTTTATTGAGACGGGCAAGAAGTGTCGTTACTGTGATGCTGTCTTCCATGAGCGCTATGCTCTCATCCAGCATCAGAAGACTCACAAAAATGAGAAGCGYTTCAAGTGTGACCAGTGTGATTACTGCTGCAGACAGGTTTGTGCTGCGGGAAACGTCCACTCTGTGTGCTCTGTTGATGTCGTGTGTCTCTTCTTACGAGCGGTGAATCTTTTTATGTCCCACAGGAACGCCACATGATAATGCATAARCGCACACACACGGGGGAGAAACCGTTTGCCTGTAGCCAGTGTGACAAGACATTCCGTCAGAAACAGCTGCTGGACATGCACTTCAAGCGCTACCATGATCCCAACTTTGTCCCCACTGCTTTTGTCTGCAGCAAGTGCAGCAAGACGTTCACCCGCAGGGTAGGACAGACTGAGACTTTACTGTCAGATTTATTTGACCTGCATCTGTGAGTCCTGACTGGTTTGTGTTTGCTCCAAAGAACACCATGCTGCGTCACGCCGAGAACTGCATGGGTGAACCTACTGGAGATGAAAATGGAATTCCAACTCCCAAGAAAGGGCGCCGTGGCAGGAAGAGAAAGATGCAGTCCAGGAGGGATGATGATGACGACGACGATGAAGACAACACTGGTATTTTACATGAAAAACTTGTCTTTTCATCTTCAGCAATATTTTCTTACAATGGATGGCAGAACAATTCTTTGTAGTGAAGTCAGGGATGGGAAACTTAACTGAAGGGGCCGCAGTTTTACTTTTGACCCTACCGGAGGGCCACATAGCACTGCACACTTGCCCAAATGTAATAAAGCTGCCACTTTAAAAATGCTTTTCTATATGTATGTTTATTAAAATCAACATGCAGTGCAGTAAATTAACAAATTTTATTCTCAAATGCATGTGTAATAGTTGTACTTTTGTTTAATATACAAAGCATTGAAGTGCAGCGGCATAAGATGCTTTAACTCCTGAGTGGTTGTGGTTCTGGTAAAAAGTCTCTGTTGTACTTTTGATTTGAGCTTAGCTATAATAGCAGCCCTTGCTGCTTCAGTAAACTTCTTTTATTTAGCTTTGTGCAACGTGTTGTAGTGTCAACTTGTATTAAAATCTATTGTGTGTAAGCAGACTAAACACACAGGTTTGTACTTACATTCTGTGAACRGATAGTCTACCTCCCGTTTCATCTGAAACCTGATTTCCAGTTTTGTCTTTTCTCTTCTTCACTGGTAGAAAGAAACAGGGTGCACAAGGTGGCATCTGCTGTGGGAGCGCCCTCTAGTGGCAAGCTTTGTCATTACAATAATTCAGTGCCACTGAGACAATTAYGTTTGTAAATTTCAAACATTATTCTAAGAGTTGCTTTAATTGAGGGTGAGGGCAGATTCATGTCATGTGAAAATTCTGTAACTTACAGAGGCAACATGTAAATAAAAAACAGGTACAACAGTTTTGTCCTAAAAAATCTTTTAGGTGACATTAGTGTAAAATGTTAGTTTTTACTCTAATCAGTCATGCTCATTCTAGATTTAAGGCCATTTTCCTATTTTAAAAGATATATTGATGCCAACACTGTTTCTGTTTATATATAAAATACGTAAAAATAAATTTTCTTTTAAACTTCTGTTGGATCTTTTCCACAGAGGGAGAACTGGATGAAATCGAGGAAGAGGATGAAATGTTAGTCGACATGGAGGTGGAGCAGGCCGCACCAGTTGTTCCCATTCCAGCMCCAGTGGAGCCCCCAGTCAAGAGGAAACGTGGACGCCCCCCAAAGATTAAGCCTGACGGTGAGTTTCTAAAAGATTGCGATCTTAAGCGCTCTTTAAGCCTAAAAGAACGTTGCTGGTTKAAAACTAGGTGGCTGGGTAGCTAAAGTAATGCAGTGTTTACATGTTTGAGTCTGACCTGGAATTCTTTTCAGCGGCTGCCATCATCCRCGTGGAGGACGAGGCCACCGGAGAGGTCGATGACATCATCGTGAAGAAGGAGGTCGGCACTGAACTAGACGATATCGAAGCGGAGGAGGTGGTGATCGGCGGCGTCAAGTCGACCATTCAGATGGAGGAGCTGGCTGAGGAAGGGGAAGCGGCGCCGGAGGTGCAGCTGGCTGAGGCCCCTCCCAATGGAGACCTGACTCCTGAGATGATCCTCAGCATGATGGACCGGTGATGGGTGTGAGAGTGGAATCTGTAAAAGAGGAAGAAAAAAAACACACCCAGACCCTTGATTTTATTTTAATTCTTGTTATTTAGGATAAACACTTGRCACCATGCGCAGAAACAAAACATCACAGTTGTAATTTAAAATTTACTTTAATCATGTATTGAGAAAAGACTCGGACAAGAGGGGAAAAAATTTTAATGAGGATTTACAGAACCAAAAAAAAAAAACATTTTAATACAGTTTGAAGTGGCTGTTTTTATGGCAGGGTCTTAATTTGAGTGGCTTTTGGAGAACGTGGTTTGTTTTGTCAGGTTCGACTCTCGACTACATTTTTAGTACAACAGTCTGTGGGGAAAGATTTTGATGTTGGTTTGTTTTCTTCAATAGATGATGGTACTGCATCTATTGTAAAATCTTACATCAAACCAAACAAAAACTGACTTAGGACCTGCGTTTGTTTTCTGTGTGGGCTGTCTGTATGAATAAGCCACTCTCAGAAAGACACTGCCACTAATAACAAACACTTCAAAAAATAAGAACTATGAGATATCTTGGAATATTTTTTTTCTTCTGTGGTTAGTAAATACTTGTTTTTTTTTTAATCATATACTAGTTTTTAAAAGCTTGATAGACTGCTTATCTCCTGCTCTTTTCCTGCTACTGTAATACCTGTAGAAGATGTGTATGTACTAAACTGTCACAGATGAGTGCAAGGGAAGAAACATTTGCTCTCATGTGTAGTCATTCCACTTTGAGTTGTTTTTCCTTTTGTACCACTGGCAAAGCGAAGTAGCAGCTTGAACGACTTTTAATACCTGTGTGGCAGATTGGGGGGGATTGACTGTACAACCGATAATAAAAAAAAAAAAGAAAATAGTAGTCATGAAACTGATGTTTAGTTTTCTGCAGCTGTAATAATTTACAATGAATTCAAACAGGGAGAAAAAGCCTTGTTTAGATTAACGATGTTATTGGTRCAGTTACAAGAAAAACAGTTTGCTTGACTTATTAAAATTGGYTGGGAAACTGAATGATTCGAAAAATGTCAGCTTATTTTGCTTGCAAATATATTTTATTAAATGGGAAAACTTGATGTTAAGCTTTTTTWTTATCAGTCTCACATTTGAGGAAACCAAATATAAAGATAATGCACTGGATTTGGGCTATATTAACATCGGTTATCAAAAACTGCAGTACTTRGGTAGTTTAGATAGGTACACCTCTTAGTTCTGTTATTGTCGGCACATTTMGATGAAATTGTTTTATTTTTTGCAGTTTGGGATGTTTTGGTATTGATAAGTGGAACTGTCAGACCTTCAGCCGAAAGACAAGGAGCTTTTGTGGGTTAAAATTAGTTTAAAGTTTTTGCATGTGGTTCTGTCACATGAATCCCATGAAAAGGCAATTTAACTACAAAATGCTCCGACTCGACTTATTTTACACGCTGCCTTGTTGGCCGTCGTCTCAACTGGTAGAGCAGAACCAGATTATTAAGAAGATTATTCATTATTAACAAGTTAGTGGATTTTAAACCACTTGATTTGTGTTGCCAACACATCTGTAGAWAACCTGTAATATGTGCTGCTGTTTTTTTATTACAAGTTATAAAATAAACACCTAATGTCTTCTTTTTTTATGCATTTGAAATGGAAAGTGCAAAAAAAAAAAAACATCACTTTTGTGGAGAAACGGATACATTTTTCCATGTTTTGGACCAAATACAATTTATAGTCAGAAGAATCCTTTAAAATCAGTAAGAAAATCTTCAAACCCACCTTCCCATTACTAAATGCAGAATTTACCAGTTTTTTTTCTACTTTTCTGCAGATGGATGAGTTTTTAAAACCTTGTTCATAGTACTTTTAATAGATTTATATGCTGTATTAGTTAATTATTTACATTGGGGCATCTTATTTTGAGCATAAACTTCAAGGCACATGTCAAACTCAAGGCCCATGGGCTAAATGTGGCCCGCCAAGATGCCTTATGTCCCAGCTGGTATTCGACTGACATTAAACTTTTAAATATGGTGGAAATAATGTCAGTTTAAGAAAAACATTTTCGAAGATGTTTTAATTTCTTTAAGAGAATCCTGTTTTAAAGCCAGCATTGACCATAAACTGCATCTTTTCAGTGTCTATAAGTGATAAATCACTGTTTCTATACAGGAAATACCATGTAGAGCTCAGCTATTGTTTGTCAGTGGTGCTCAATCGAAACAAGGCGTATTTAGTCAAAAAAACTTATGGAATGGAAATCCTGCATCTGTTGGTGCTAAAATAGAAAAGATGCAACAATGGTGATGTTATGGCTGTTTGCATCAAATCAGCAGAATCACAACAAAACAATATAAAGGCTGACACACAATTAGCCGGGATGCAGGATAAAACATATTAGAAAGGACAAAAGCTAAATATATACTTTAAAAAGAAAAAAGCTTTTAAGAAGGCCCTAAATACTAAAGTGCCTGTGACATCAAAATTATACAAAAGCCTTTTGGAAAGATAACACTGAGAACTGATCTGACCTCTTCTGCCTGTTTGTGGATTAAATTCCTTGAGAATTAGAAAGTTTTCAGTCAGTAATTTAAAATGAGAGCTCTGAGACTTTGCAGTTTACACACATCTTAAAAATAAAGTTTAAGGCTTTTGCACCTTAATTAGTATTTAAATTGCTGTTGGTTCTTGGTGTTTGGGAGAGGCCTTGACTTGGAACACTGACGCTTCAAAACTCATAAAAAGAGAAAACGTTGTAATAATTAACCATCACTGCTATATTTAAARAGTTACCTCATCTGTTGGGAGTTTTATTTAAACATAAGTTTCCCTTTCTGCGCCTCCTCACACTAACCAACACAAAAATAACGTGTTGTTTAACGTCACTTGACAGTCAGAGTCTTTCGGTCGTTGCCAGCTGCAGTTGTGTTTGTCTGGATTAAAAAGTGCCACATGCTCGCCTCCTAACCGTCCCCTCCTCCCGGTTTGGTGAAATTCACGGCTCCCGGCGCAACAAATAAGCCTCATATTTATCGGCCGAAGTGAACTCGCACATTGACACAATAACACTTTCTAGCGACCTCTACGTTTGTAAAAGTTGTTAACTTTTCTCTTTCTTTCCTCTCGGAATCTTCGTGGCTATTTCCCCCCCGCTGGTTCCTCTGCGGTGTCGCCAGCGAAGCGAAGGTARCAACGGAGAAAACAGTCGACTGAGGCTGAGCGACATTTTTGTTGCCACAGCAACTAGTCAAGCTCCACTTCCGCTTCTTTTAGAATTTCAAAGTAAAGTAAGCGCGCCGTCCAAATTCCAATTACGAAATGGCCTGGGGCTRTAAATAAAATACAAAATGATAAATGTTATCATTTTACCACCAAAAGATGTTTGAAAATTATATAAATTTGAGGAAATTATTATTTGCCTTACGTTTTGAGTATAGTATTTAAAACAAAGCAGTGTAACATCATCATCATCAAAGATTTCTTTTATTTCTGTATTTATTAGACTTAGTATACAATCCTGTAACGTCCTGATGCATCTCAGTAATCCAGGTAAAAAATCAAAAAGAAAAAAATTGTATAGGTCTTCTGG